TAGCACAAAGGATCACATATAAAGTGTTATAGACTTAAAATAAGACCCAAAACTCGAGCACTTTCGAATAGTTCAGAAAGAACTAATTGAAAGCGCTCGAGTTTTGGGTCTTATTTTAAGTCTATATAATTACTGTGTACCTTAACAGTTTTGTATATTTATTATTCCCTTAACACTTTCCTGCAGTCCCCATTTTGAAAAACCCTGACATAACACATGGAGTAGGTAACAAGAAGTTAAATATTCTGTAAAAGCTGGAAAGTAAATCTGATAAGTTTAGAGGAAGTTTAATAATAATAATGACTTAGAAAGATAAGTTACAAGAATCGTAAATATGGAAAATAAAGTAACCAGCAAAAATTAGTGTAACTTAATTAATGTGTAATGTTATACCATACACAGAACTGTTATATAGCTAGTATTTCCAACGTATGCATATAATAAGAATATTACAGGAATTAAAACTAATAGTGGTCAATACACTAAAGCTGTTTACTACCTTCACTCCCAGAGTCGGGCAGGGGTATTGCAATCGGGTCCGTGTGTGTGTGTGTGTCTGTCTGTGTTTCTGTGCATGTATCTCAAAAACTAATAAACTGATGTACACAAAACTTTTACACCAGAGGGGAAGTCGGTATGGGACAGTACCACTTTTAAAGTATTTTTTATAATGGGGAGATATGGTAACACCAGATGGGAAGTCAGTATGGGACAGTACCACTTTAAAGTATTTTTTATAATGGGGAGATATGGTAATTTCACAGTTTTGGGTTAATCATTCTGTGAAGTGTGACTGGGTTCATGCCAAAATTCATTGACACATTAAGGTTGATTTTCCTCATCACACTGCAAAAAATGATCTGGATCTGAGAAGGATTTTCTGAGTTTTCAAAGGTGAAATTTGACATTATCCAGTATAAATGCATGCAATTCTTGAATAGGAGTGGCAGGGCGAGGGTATGCAATGTCTGATTGCTCTTGTTATTACCTTAAACTATTTTCAAAGAAGTTAGAGTGTAGACATGAAAGTTTTGAAAATGTTGTGAATTTTTGTAAAACTTCTAAACCAATAGCAAGAGTATTGCCAAAACTTCCACAAAAGGCCCAGCATGGCTAGGTGATTAGGGCGCTTCACTCGCAATATGCGGGTCACAAGTTCAAATCTCCGTCCCACCAAACATGCTTCCCCTTTCAGTCATTGAGGCATTATAATGTGATGGTCAATCCCACTAGTAGTAGGCCTCCTTCGGCCAGGTTTGACCATGGATGAGTATTCGTCCATTGTTAGCTCATGTTGATCGCTCGTCTAGAGCAGCATCTCTTGTGACTAAGGAGACCGACACGAGAGTGACAGTCCCAGTTGCAGAGGTCACATATGTGCATTGACGCTGGTCTGTTTGCTGCCTGTTCCTTTTGATGCGCTCGCTTCTCTTCTGCCGCCACCGTCAATTCCTCTTCACCGATCTTCAGCTGTTTACAGAGAGTGTTTCTCCAGTCGGCGCGATCGGCAGCGAGGTCCTCCCAAGTTTCAGTATTGATGTTGAGCACCTTCATGTCTCTTTTGCAAATGTCCTTGTATCTCAGCAGCAGGCGGCCGATGCCTCTCTGTCCTTTGGCAAGCTCTCCGTAGAGGATGTCTTTTGGGATTTGGCCATCCTTCATACGGTGCAAGTGGCCTATCCAGCGCAACCGGCTCTGTCGTAACAGAGTGTACATGGTAGATTGGTTCGTACAAGACAAGACATCGGTGTTAGTTACCTTGTCTTGCCAGGAGATACCAAGTATGCGTCGCAGGCTTCTGAGGTGGAAGGTATTCAGTCTTTTCTCTTGGCTGGCATAAGTAGTCCACGTCTTGCTGCCATATTGTAGGGTGCTGAGGACACAGGCGCTGTACACAGACATCTTCGTCTTCAGGGTCAGCTTAGAGTTTGTCCACACTCTTGGCGTAAGGCGAGCAAGCATCGTGGTTGCCTTTCCAATCCTCCTGTCGATCTCAGCATCAAGCGAGATGCTAGAGCCAAGGTAGATAAACTGGTGAACGACATCGAGCTCATAGTCATCGATATTGATGACTTCAATCCCACTCTTCGTTGGTAAAAGAGTAGCCGAAGAGTTGGCTGTGTCTGGTGCCGACTAGTTGCCTTCTCTGCAGTCTTTCACTTCTAAATAAGAGATGGTTAGTGCAGATAGCTCTCATGTAGCTTTGTGCAAAATTCAAAACAAACCAAGATCTTCCTAAAAATATAATGAATTTTGTGTTTAGCATGTGATGGGAGAAACTTTGTTTAGAAAAAAATGTGAGTTTACAAGTTCCATCCAAGAAGTCTTGTGAGATTGAACATATTCTATTGTACCTGTTAAGATGTGTGTGGTAAAGGTGGTTACATAACTTATTTAGACTATTTGTGTTTGGAAATGGAAACTTAATAACTTTGATGTTTATTGTGTTCATTTTATTGAAAACTTTAAACTTGATGTCTAAATCCTGAAACTGTGGTTTGTTTTTCTATGGTGAGTTTTGTTGGATGAATTTGTTTGGCTGTTTCAAGAAAATCATTTTGTCTTGAATAATAATACAGTATTTCTTTAAATGCTCTATTTATTTCAGACAAAATTCACAAATCCTCAGTCACAGTTTTTTGAATTCAAAGTAATTTAGATATTACATTATAAGTGAATCTACACCGACGTTTGTATGGTAGGTTCTATATCAGTTTTAACTTGTTTGTATACCCAAAGGTTTTAACATTTTTAAGTTTAACCTGAATTCTTTAATTAAAGTTGCAATATAAATTTTTTTACGAAAAAAAAAAGTTGTCAGCTACTTTATCAGCACAAGTGATGACATATTTACTGTGTAAAGAATCTAAACACTCCGTAACGTGTTCACTGTTGTTAATAGTGAATTTCTTTAAGTACGTTAGGTTTATGAATTATGTCTCTAACTGTATTTACCCATTTTCTGAATATAATTACTTTTAAGTTCTCTCTCTCTTTTTCACTCCAATTAAGTAAAACTTTACTGAGTGATTTACTCATTAACAGTCATAAATATTTGTTAGTAGCTGCAAATAATGGCAGTCATGAGAAATAAATCAATATCATATTTATTTTAAGACTTCAGTTAGAACTCGGGAATATAATTGATTAACCATGAGGGCTGTAGGAGTCACATATTAACCAAATAGTCGAATATAATTGAGCCTCTCAGTTAATTGATTAACAAATACCACTCATTACATCAGTGTAAGTCTTTAAAAAAATGTAATTTAATGAGAGTTTTGCTATTCTGTGAGGTGTTTTATAAACCGTATTATTAATCCATTTTTAATAATAATAGTTAAAATAACACAATTCCAGCTAAATATCATACAAAGTAGGAGATGTAATATTTAGGCAACACCTTTTTTGAGTGTTATATATTTCTCATTCCTGATTTTCCATCTCTTGAAAACATGTTTTGTAGGTATAAATATTAGCTTTGTGTCTTCAACTACAAATGTTTCTTAAGATTAGTGTTAACTTTTAGCTCAAACAGAGAACAATGGATAAATTTCATTTTTCTCAGTTGATATACATAAGTGTCTGGCACTTATTGTTTTTTTTTTCATGTGAAAATGTTGTTTCAGAACCTAACCTACCATCTGTTGTGGTCATGATAGTACGACATATCTGTATAATATTCATTGTTAACGAATTATAACGTGTGAGAAAAAGAATACCCTTTGTTTTCTGTTAGTTACCAAATAAAAAGTATAAAAAAGTTGTATCGTTTGAGATAATAAAACATGAAATAGTGTTGCTATATTGTATCGTTTTGAGGTAATAAAACATGAAATAGTGCTGCTATATTGTATCGTTTTGAGGTAATAAAACATGAAATAGTGCTGCTATATTGTATCGTTTTGAGGTAATAAAACATGAAATAGTGCTGCTATATTTGAACAAGTATTTTACAGAAGGAGAGGACTCGCACACTGAAAATGGAGTAATACCTACCGGGCAGGCTGATCCAGATGGGCAAAACTGGCCTTCTACTGAATCAAATACAGCCCAGCAGTCTGATCAGCAAGGTTCTAGTGCAGATAATATTATTATAACAAACCTTACCGATAGGAACACACAGCAGGAAGAAGAAGAACGTAAGCTAGTTTGTAAAAATTAGCTTTTCTTTAAAGTGTGAGAAATTATTCAAGAAATATACTTTTTCCTAATGATAGAAAGTATATTAAAATTGATAATATCTTTAATTATCCCCTTCTTTCCTACAAGTTATTTAGGGGTTTTAGTTACAGTAGATATCACTAAATGAATATCAGTCTCATAAGTCAAGTTTGATTGAAGTTTTTTTAAATATAAAATTTGTAAAGAAATATACTAATAAGAACTTTTCCTATTTCAAAGATTATTTTTGCTGTCTGTTTAAATTTAGCTTTTCTGGAATTTTCCAAAATTTCTTAATTATAAAATATTGGAATACTAGACATGTCAGTACAGTAATGATAATAACTTCAAAGTGTGGCAATAAAATGAGCTATTTACTGACCTAGAGATAAAACAAGGTTTGAGCTTAAACAGATTGTTATTGAAACCTTCGTCAGAATAAATTAGCAATGTGTTTCATTTAGCTTTCTTGTTGTATAGAGAGTGGCCAAAAAGTGTTTTCTTCACTTTGAAGTTTCATAGCTGGAAAATGTAGAGTTACCAACACTCTGGCATTGAGTGTGAGACTCTTGCTTCTGTGCCTATTCTTCTGCTCACACACGTAACAAACAAAAATTTAACCATTATAATGCACTGTGATTGGTTGACTGGCTTGATCCAGGAAGTGTACCAGATTAAATTGTTTTGATTCATTGAATAAAAGGTTTCTGTGGGAGTATGCCCCCAGACCCCACTATAAGGTGACCACCATTGGCACTCACAGCATTTTACTGCACATTAAGATTTTACTTTTTCAAAAGTCTCAATTAAACAGAATCCTCAGAGGGTTCATTTCTACACCATGTGATCATCATGTCCCGCCTCATTCTCAACTACAGCATCCAGTCAAGGAATAATGTTGAAAATAGCCAGTCTCAATATGTTCTAAGAATTATAATAAACATTGCATCGGGATTTGTCCTGCATGGTTAATAATTGAATGTCATTCCAGATAACACGAGCCTTAGGTGTTCCCATAACCAGTGATATTATCGACCTGACATCTGTCTTCTTCTTTCTGGAGCCATACTGACAGTTGTTGTATCCAGCATTCAATTAGTTTCATTCTTTCTTTTTTATTTGGCAAGTTATGGTTACTGTTTCACCACCTGGTGGTAAAATTAGTAGTTTTTTCTTTTATAAGCTGATATTATCTCATGTGCCGATAACCTTGTTTCCCAATTTTTCATCTTCGAACATGATACCATTTTTTATCTATGGCTACCCTGTAATATAATAATTTAGAAGAATATAATAATCTCTCTTCCATAAACAGTTAAATATTTTATGTTATTAGAATAGTAAAGTTTGTGAAAAATTAAAAATATAGTGAAATTACAGGGCAGCTTCACTCTTTGGACTGGTGGTTGGATGGTTGCGAGTTCGAGGCTGGCCTGCGTCATACTGCTGCATGCAAGACACTTTATAGTAAAATTACAGGGCAGCTTCACTCTTTGGATGGTTGCGAGTTTGAGGCTGGCCCGCGTCATACTGCTGCATGCAAGACACTTTACCTCACTTATTCCAGCCTACTCAGCAGTTAGCTGGGAATTGGCATGCTGTTTGGATCACCATTCTCATCTGCTTGTGCCACTTGGAATTGAAATTCAAAACCACCAGCCCTGTGTACCTTACAAACGTATGACAAAGTGATTTCTTTCGTTCTATAGGGGGTGTAAAGCTAGGACTCGGAGATTTCATTTTCTATAGCGTCTTGGTTGGGAAAGCCTCGTCTTATGGAGACTGGAACACAACCATTGCCTGCTTTGTAGCAATTTTGATTGTAAGTACTTTTTTTTTTATCAACACGTCAGAATAAAGTGTTTTGGTATTGAATATAACTTAATGATAAAAAAATACTTTATTAATTTCTTGTTGGTTTTGAAAATTTGACTTCTTATTTATCCAGGTAAGAAGAAAAAAATTACATCCTGTTATGATGAGAGCTTGATTACTGTAACTTGTAATTGTTAAAACAGTACATCCTGTTATGATGGGAGCTTGATTACTGTAACTTGTAATTGTTAAAACAGTACATCCTGTTTAGATGGGAGCTTGATTACTGTAACTTGTAATAGTTAAAACAGTACATCATGTTATGATGAGAGCTTGATTACTGTAACTTGTAATTGTTAAAACAGTACATCCTGTTATGATGAGAGCTTGATTACTGTAACTTGTAATTGTTAAAACAGTACATCCTGTTATGATGGGATCTTGATTACTGTAACTTGTAATTGTTAAAACAGTACATCCTGTTATGATGAGAGCTTGATTACTGTAACTTGTAATTGTTAAAACAGTACATCCTGTTATGATGAGAGCTTGATTACTGTAACTTGTAATTGTTAAAACAGT